ACCAGACAGCTGCACGGCTGGAGGCTGGTGTGTGTGTGTGTGTGTGTATACACGCATGTGTGTGCATGTGTGTGTGCGTGTGTGCAAGCACCCTCCTGTATGGACACTGAGGTTTTGGGATGAGAAGCATCTCTGATTTCCTCTGATCTGAGGGGATCTACCTGCTTCCAGTGGATCTCCAGGTTCAGCTATGGGATGGAGAGGAAGGGGCATTTGAGACCCACTTTTCACTGCTTGAATTACTAATTCGGGCCAACAGCAGGCAGTTTTGTCACTTGGGGGAATGACGGTAGAGCGTGGGAGGAGAGAAAGTGTGTCCCTTACCAAGAGTAAGGGACAGTATTTTTCTAGGGCTCAGGTGAACTATTCCCAGTCCCTCACAAACAAAACATGCACACAGTGTCACATAGCCATCCCTCAGCGAGAAAGGACAATTACAAATTCTCATTGTCTATAAATAGCTCTCAGCACAAAGCTGACAGCTAGGGATGCTCAAGACGGGCCCGGGACAGATGCTGTGAATTCACCATGGCTTGCCCCAGAGGCTGAGGGTCTGCAAGGCACTTTGATGTCGAATAGATGAGGGGGACAGGGGGGCTGTCTAGGGTTGCACGTAGCAGAGGCTGAGTGGTCCGGAACAGGTTTGGACCAATTTATTTACTCACTTTTCCCTGAGCTACCACTGTGTGTGTCTCACGGGGAGCTTGTGCACAAGGATTTAGCACAGAAAGAACTGCTGGACCCATCGAGTCCTGCTCAGAGCCGTCCGAGGTGGAAGAGGCAGGACCAGAGCTGCGGGCGTCATGCTCATGAGACAGGTGTCCCCGGGGCGGGATTCTCCTGCTTCTTCTAGTTAAATCACGTCATGTCCTGGCCTGGCCTGCGGACCTCACTATGGACAGTAGCGAGAGTTCTCGTCCTCTAGATGTGGAATGCAGACATACCCTGGAATGCAGACAGAGGGTTCCAGGAACAGCTGAGGAATGCAGAGAACCCAGAGGGACCCACGGAGATCCAGGGCTGCCCATGACCTCCCCCAGTGCCCAGCACTGCAGGGACCCCAGGAGAATGTCCTTAGTTAATACTGTGTTGTCTGGAAGGGGTTATGGATGCATGGACACAAAAGCCTGCAGATGATTGGGATTGAAGGCACATACCCAGGCACAGAGGGACTAGGGTGAACCCAGACTGCCTCCTTTCCCAGCCTCACCTTGTCCTTGTGGTGTCCAGACTCCTGATGGCTCAGCTTTCCAGAGTGGATACCACCAACGGGTCACTGGTCTCCTCCTGTGATCCTGTCCCTGAGTCACACACAGATGGAGCTTGAGTCTCAGCCTGGAACCTGTCCCCTCCCCCTCCATGACCCCATGGCCATGGCCACACCTGCCAGCCTCCTGCAGGGTTATTCCCTGAGCAGTAAAATGCAGGACAAAGGGAGCCCAAGGTCCAGTGAGGGAGGGAGGTGTCTGGGTACAGGAAGGAAAGTGCAACCTGCCTCTCACAGGCTCCACGTGCTTTTTCGCAAATGTCTTCCCAAGGTACAGCCCAGCTCCGAGAATCAGCAGCACGACCACAACAGATGCCAGGATGTTTCGCAAGTGGGCAGCACTGGTCTGTCCTTGCAGATCTGTTTCCATCGCAGAGAGAGAGTGAAGAAGGTTAAGGCAACAGGGAACTGAGGACGCCCATTGCCAGGCACATGGAGACTCTGAAGGGACCTGGTCAGGAGTTCTAGAGGGAGCAGCACGGCAGGGGCTCTCACTCAGCCAGTTCCCGAGCTCCTGCTTGGGGCCGGGGTGTTGAGAGGAGCAGGACATGGTGCCCGCCCTTGAGAAGCCCCTCAGCAGGGGGAGGGCTGACACATGCCAGAGGCAGCCAGCCAGAGCCATCCCAGGACCCTAGAGCTACAGCTTGTACCGAGGTCATCAGGGAGGGCCTCCTGGAGGAGGTGATAGGCAAACCTGGTTTTGAGGGAGGAGTAGGAGATTGCCCAATATTCAGGATGGGTGAAGCATGCCAGGGTGCAGAGCCATGACCAGGAATGGCTGTGACAACTCCCCAGTGCTTGGAGCTGTCTGCACCCAACTGGAGCAGACAGGAGAGGGACCAGGCAGGAGGAGCCGGGTGGGAGAATAAGAGGGAGGCAGGAGCCTCTTTCCAGAGAGCCCAGGGGGGCCTGAGCCATGATCGGCCTCTGTGCTCAGGGATCCTAAGACAGTAGGTCCCCAAGCAGCTGGTGGAGGAGGGGTGGAGGGGCGAGAGGGCTCACAGGGAACCAAGCCATTCATTCATTCATTCATTCAGGGACACACAGACTGTGAAGCAAAGGGCCCGAGGCCGAGGTTGGGACAGGCATTCAAAGGAGAAGTAGACATGGCCCCTGCCCTCCAGGGGTTCAGGCTGCACAGGACACTAATCCTGGGAGCATCAGCTCCCAGTGTGGGGCCACTGACCACTCCTTAGAGATGAGGTGTGAGGGCAGGACAGTGGCAGCTCCTCCAGGGCCCTGAGCCATCAAGGCTGAGGAGCCCCTGTGCAAACTGTCTTCATGCTGGGACTGTACCCAGGATGTGGCCCTGTGGGACTGCCCGGGTCACAGGCCCCTGGAGCCAGCTACAGGGAGGGGTCCCTGGATGGGAATCAGTGGGGAGTGGGGGACTCCTGACTCAGAAGGGCTGAGGGCAGAGGAAGGGGCCTGAGCGGAGGCTGGCAGCCGAGGAGAGCGGGACACATCGGGAATGCAAGCGAGCAGGTGGGTGTGACGTGTGTCTGTGAGACCAGAATTGGGCAGAGGAGCCCCGAGCCCTGAATCCTGCAGGAGTCACCGGCCCGACCCCTCAGATGTCACAGACCACGGACACCCCCAATTCGCTTTTCCTCACAACCTCCCTAGACACACTTGAGATGATGCCAGATTCTGCCTGGACTAGCAGGGGTGAGGGGTGGAGAGCAGCACTGGAGCGACACCAAAGGGCAGAGGCAGGTTGGATGAGCCTGCCAGAGTCCTGGACCAGGTGACCAGGTGGCAAGGGGTGATATAAACATGGGGGACAGAAGCCGGGAACTCTCACCCAGGGTTCCCTGAGCACCGGGATAGCCCCCCTCCTCTGGCAGATGTACTCACCATGGCCACAGATGTCCCCAAGGTCCAAGGAGGCAGTTTTCTGGTCCCCCTCGTTGCTGACCACACAGGTGACGCTGGGGGTGGGCTGGCTCAGGGGCAGGTTCACACCCAGGGTCCAGGGGTTGGGCGCTGGTCCTGGGGCCGGTCTCTGCTCCAGCTCCCTGGGGAGACCCTCGCTCTCCCAGGACACCCTCAGGTCCTCCCTGGTTCCCGTGGGGTCACACCCCACGGTGACATTGCACGAGCCTCGTGTGAGGGACAGAATAATGGTCCAAATCCGGGGAAGGGGCACAGGTTCTGGGGCAGAGGGACAAGAGGAGAGAGCCTCACGTGAGTAGACAACATCATAGCTTCTCCCTCTACTGCGGATTCTCCATGACGCTCTGGCTTCCTCCCCCTAAGGACAGTGATTACATTTTACAGATAACAAGAGAATTGACCCAAATATACAGCAGGTGCCAGTAAGGAAGGGAGCCACTGAGTTCAGCTCTATGTGATTTCACTAGACTGAGCACGTCTTACAAATCTCCCTTGAGAAATTAAGACGCTGGAGTCATCTGCCTGAAACACATTAACTCTAAGAAAGTGATGTGTCCCCTACAGGAAGATTAAGTGTGAGACACAAGGATTTGTCCTGGTCCAGGGCCCGGCTCTACTCCTGCTCAGATGGTTCTCGGGACTGCACAGCCCATGGTGCAGACGGCCACCAGCAGCTCTGGGAGCCCAGAGATGAGCCCCAGGATCCACCAGGAGAGACCGCAGTGGGGGACACAGTGCTGGTCCCAAGGTATGGACACTCCAAGGTGGTTATAACAGGCACTGAATTTGGGGTCCACCCAGGAAGCCAAGAACAGATGGACAGTCGGTCTTAGGAATCTCCAGGTCCTGAGGGTTCCAAGTCCCCTCTCTCTGGGGCAGGACGTCTCCCTGTGCACGGGGGAGGGGTGCACACAGAGACAGCTGCTCCCTGAGGGTCTGAGGAAGGGTTACCCTGTGAATTCTTCTCCATCCGTGGAGGTTCAGAGCTGGACCGTGCAGTCTGTGAGTGAGCTGACTCGGGCTGGGCTGAGAAGGACGAGGGGACGGGGCAGGGAGAACGACATGTGGGATTCCAGATCTTGCTAGGTGACGAGTGTCCCCCAACCATGGCCACGTGCTGACCTTAGAGCCTGAAGATGTCTTAGGTTCTAGAACAAAGGGGAACTGAGGCTGAGAACCTGCTGATGGTAAACTAGGGATGGTCTGGATTCCCCGGACAAGCCCCATGTGATCACAAGGTCCTCACAAGTGGGAGGAGGCAGGAGACGAGGTGGGGGGAATGCGGTGCCAGAGGGACTCATCCCACCAGTGCCACTTGTGAAGGGGGAAGAAGGGGCCACGATCCGGGGGTGCAGGTGCCACTAGAAGGGGGGACAGGAACAGAAGTGGATTCTCCCCAGAGCCTCCAGAGAGGAGCACAGCCCTGCTGACACCTGGACCTCATGGCAGAGGCTCTGGGGTCTGACTCCTGCCCTACAGCCTAGGAGGACCCCCAGGGGGTGGTGTGGTCAGCCACTGCAGCACTGGACAGTAAGAGTCCCATCAAGGACCCTGAATCCTATGGGGACAATAAGTGTTACAGCAAAATCCCCATTTACCCCCATTCCATGTTCCCTCCTAAAGCACAGACGTGATTTATCCCTGGTGTGAGTCTCAGCTCTGCCTGCATTTGTGGTGACCTCACAGCATCTATTTTCTGGGGAGAAGATCGAGTATGAAGGCTGCGGTCTGGAAGGAATCCTGTAAGCGGGGCACTTGGACACTCCCGGGGACAGTGGGAGGGGGTCAGCTGTGGGACTGGGGGAGGCGCCGCCACGTACCGTAGACCATCAGGTGGAAATCCTGGTCATATTGTCTTCCTCTTGTATAGGACTCTCGAGCCCGGTACAGCCCACTGTCCTCAAGGGTCAGGTTGTCAATCCGTAGGGTCATTATGTTGAGCACATAGACTCTCTTCTCGAACTTCTCCTGGAAGTTGACCCATTCTGGAACATCTCTCCCAGGAAACACATACAGCATGACTATGTAATTTGATCTGGATACGACGCCCCAAGACATCTTCTCCAGCTCAAATTCTGGAGGTAATTCTGGATTTCTGATCACTTGAAACAACACAGGAGTTCCTTGAGTCCCCTTCAGAGTAACAGGGATTCCAGAATTGAGCACTGCAGACCCACGGGCTCCAGGACTCCGGGTCACAGCGCTGCAGACACCTAGGGCATAGGACGCAGAAAACATGGGCGGTTTTCATTAGGAACAAAGGAGGAAACCCTAGAACCCATCTTCCTGAAATCCATCCCATGTGCCCCCTTGAGTCTGGGAAGGCAGGAGGGTGCCATGAGTTCGAGGCGAGGCTGGAATCCCTCCTGGTCCCAGGGGAGCATCCCCTTGAACAGGTCACGGGAACTCGCTCACCTGCAGTGCCCTAACCCCTGACAGCGAGAGGACGAATGTCAGGAGATCTCCAATTCGAAGCACAAAGTGCATTTCTGCAGGAGGCAGCTTCTCACGGGGCTGCAGAAACCCCTTGTGCGCACAGGCTCTCCAAGCTCTGCCCTGGGGGGGGGATCGCTCCCCAGGGACTCGCCTCTAACGAGCAGAGCACAATGAAGAAGACCCGGCTCAGGAGCAGAGGCAGAGACAGTGGATGGCGGACGGCCCAAGGACTGCAGGACTGCAGGGCTCGAGGACGCATCCCTCCCTCCTTGGAGGGCGGAGGAGGTGACCACAGGTGGTCCTGGGCTCTGGGTTCTGAAGGGGCCCAAACAGGCTCCCCGGCTGTCCTTCCCCGTCAGGACGCAGGACGAGGGCAGGACAGGATGGAGACATGGAGCAGAGGCCTCGGAAAAGCCACAGGACAGTCCCATCCAGGGAGAGACCCCCAGTCCCAGGATGTCACAGCTGGAGGGCCTTCAAGGGGACCTTTCACAGAGGAGGGGCTCCCTCGAGGGCAGGAGGGGGACTGGTCTAGGTCACACAAGGCAGAGCCAGACCTGGAGCCTGCTTCCCTCTCCCCCAGGCCCCTGCTTCCCCTGCAGAGAGCTGCCCTACAGCCCTCCCCCTGCCCTGCCCTGCCCTGCCCTGCACTGGGCTCCTCCCTCCCAGCACTGCTGTCTGGTCAGTGGGGTCTGAGCAGATCTGGGGTCTCACCTCCACCTACTGTCCCGGGAGAGGGGACTCAAGTACTCCGTGGGCTTTGGCAGGGCGGGGACACTGGGCTACCTGAGGGTTAACCCGCCCCTGCTGGAAAGGGGGGATCCCGGGACAGAGGAGGCTCAGCCCCCGGGCTGCTGGGGAGGAGCGGCCCCGAAGCTGGAAGCCCACTCAGGACGGGAGGAAGACACGACAGTGCTCAGATCTGCAGAAGGTGCTGACGCCAAAGAGGGACAGAAGGTCAGGGGCGGGTGCCGTGAGCGAGAGCGCCCGAGTTTATTTAAATTAGATGAAATGTGACTTTCAACCATCAATGTAAAAATTTGTCCATTTCCCTCTCTCTCATCCTTCTTTTCTTTCATTCTTATATGATCTTCCAACCCCGACATTTATGGAAGAAAATTCTGTGATTTCCCATTATGTCTCCAGTTAAATCAAATTGAAAAGAAGAGAAAACTACATTTATTGAAAACAAGTAATTTTGTTTAAAAAAAGGATCTCAATGCCTTGCGAAGCTCATTTTCTAATGAGTAATCTCCCTATTTACAAATGCCTTGTGAGTCCAGAATTTCCCTAGAATCCCTGAAGGCACGGAGGGGCTGGTGTGTTCACATCAAACATTATAGACAACAAAAGCTTTCCCTACCCTCCTCAGAATTCAGCTCCGAGGGTCTCAGTGTTTTCTCCTTTGTTCTTATTTAATGTGTTACACAGAAGCACCTGGACTCCGATGAGGAATGACTGGATTTTCAGGTTTCTGAGAGGATGACTTTTTTGAGTTCCATTTGAGGCCCCCTCTGATGCCCCCCCAGGTACCCCCACCCGGATCAGAGGTCAGCAGTCTCCTGTTCTCGGGTCACCCTTACACACAGCAGGTGGGCGCAGACCCTTGAATTCTGGGGGCTCCTTACCTTCCCTTGCAAACAGAATGTCACTGGATTCGGGGCCTCATCTTGCCCAAGGA